CATTCCTCTCCAAGTATTTCATGAAATGGAACTCAATATCAGAGATTAAACATCTTCAACATATACGAACAGTCCCTTTGAACTATCTAGTTCAGAATTACCCATAAAGGATGAGACTGTAAAGACGACCTGGAACTAAAAATATATGACGATTTCATAGTTGGATTAAACCTTCTGCCTTATATAGTCTTTTATAAGTATATTTTGTGTTGTTAATGTACCTAGAGATACCTTTCATCATTTGTCAACGACTTAAAACATTTAGGAAATGTTCTGCAAAGTGATAATCAAATGACCATAGATTGCAAACAAAAAACGAGATATTTTCATTTCAAAAATCCATTCCCTTAACCAAGAATTTTATTTTAACAGTACTGATGTTATTTTGAAACTGCATTATATTATTGTTGTAGTTTTTATGGATCTAGTGCTTGGGACTTGAGTTCCCAATGTGTTTCAAAATTGTATACAGCATGGAATAATGCTATTAGAATTCTTTTTAATGTACCTAGAGATACGCATAGGTACTAGGGTGAAAGTATTTCACAAAGTTTACATGTAAAAACTATGTTAGCTAGCAGATGTGTGTCTTTCTATGAGACTATTGAAGCAAGTTCTAAGCTTGCATTAGATTTCTTTCTAATTTATGTAAAAATGACCTCAAAACAGTTCTTGGCAGAAATTTATTTTCCTTTGCAAATGATTGTTCTGTAAATCTTTCTGATCATAGTAAAATGTTAGTAAGAAACAGATGAAATATTTTTATGTCCCATTGGACCATGCATGGAAAGTTCCGGTTTTAGAACTTTTAAATACAAGAATGAATAATTTATATGTTGAAGGATTCGATGATTATGCAATAACTGAAATGATAAATATGTTATTTACAGCATTTAAATATATGTATTTAAATCTTTATAATAATAATATTTTTTACTTATAGCTCTCAAGAATATTATATTTATCTGAATACCCCTCTGGACTATGTCTAGGTTTGAGCTCTCAAGAATATTATATTTATCTGAATACCCTTCTGCACTATGTCTAGGTTTGAGCTCTCAAGAATATTATATTTATCTGAATACCCCTCTGTACTATGTCTAGGTTTGGGCTCTCAAGAATATTATATTTATATCTGAATACCCCTCTGTAATATGTCTAGGTTTGGGCTCTCAAGAATATTATATTTATATCTGAATACCCCTCTGTACTATGTCTAGGTTTGTGCTCTCAAGAATCTTATATTTATATCTGAATACACCTCTGTACTATGTCTAGGTTTGAGCTCTCAAGAATATTTCATTTATCTGAATACCCCTTTGTACTATAGTCTAGGTTTGGGCTCTCAAGAATATTTTATTTATCTGAATACCCCTTTGTACTATGTCTAGGTTTGAGCTCTCAAGAATATTATATTTATCTGAATACCCCTCTGTACTATGTCTAGGTTTGACCTCTCAAGAATATTATATTTATCTGAATACCCCTCTTTACTATAGTCTAGGTTTGGGCTCTCAAGAATATTATATTTATCTGAATACCCCTCTGGACTATGTCTAGGTTTGAGCTCTCAAGAATATTTTATTTATCTAAATACCCCTCTGTTCTATGTCTAGGTTTGAGCTCTCTAGAAAATTATATTTATCTGAATACCCCTCTGTACTATAGTCTAGGTTTGGGCTCTCAAGAATATTTTATTTATCTGAATACCCCTCTGTACTATGTCTAGGTTTGGGCTCTCAAGAATATTATATTTATCTGAATACCCCTCTGTACTATGTCTAGGTTTGAGCTCTCAAGAATATTCTATTTATCTTAATACCCTTCTGGACTATGTTAAATGAACCGTGTCTCCCCGCCACCCGCTCAATTCGGATTTTTAACCCGGAAAAAGTTGGCGGACTTATTTTATTGGAAATATATATTTTCACCCCTCCCCTCGCCCTTTCACCTCAAACCTTATCCCCCCCCCAGGCAGTTATCCTTTTTATACAACTACCCGGGTTCTCTAGGAGAATACTGTGCCTCCCTCTAAACATGATAATTCTATAATAAAATGGAAAATTATAGCTCGTTTTAGTTTAACATGTCAGATTAGATAATTTTAGGGATCGTAGACGTAATTTTATTCTCCAGTGGTGAATTTATGCTACAGAAAAAATGTGGAAATAATTAGAATTAAACACTTTTTACAAGGGTGAATAACGACGATATCTCCCACATAATTGATCAGATAGATGAAGCGTACTATTGTGCATTGAGCGAGTCACTTAAAAAAAAATTATAAGATCACGGCAGAATATACATAGCATCAATTTTAATCAAAATTTGATTTCCATAGTTTTAAAGGTAAGTGGTAAAGAGCCCCCCCCCCCCCGGACTTCTGTTTTTCAATGCAAAATCAAAATGAAGAAAGCGGTATGTTTTGATTCGAGGTTGCGTGAATGAAAATACCTTATAGTCAGATAGTGATAAAGTAAATTAAGATAAATTAGAATATGAATCAAACATAATCTTTACACGTGTAATCTACAATGTACATAACATACATACATCTACATTCTACATGTTACTTACACCCAGCTCAAACATAACACTTTAAGAGATGTAATGAATTTTTTTTTGCATGGACATAAGATTAATCAAAAAATTAGCAAATCTGGAAAAGATCAAAACTACAGATGGTAAATGTGCCAAGATAAAATAGGTAAAATGGTAAATCAAAGGGGGGGGGGAAGGGTGAATGAAGAAAAATGTGGAAGAGAGAGAAAGAGGGGGGGGGGGATTCAAAATAATTTCGTGTGAGTGAATAATCATAGTATAAAGCAGAAATCATTATTTTCGGCACGTGCCTCTCCCTCCCCCCCCCCTCCCCTCCTCTACCCTTTACGGCAGTAAACACGTAAACGTAAATAAACAAGAAACCAATATTTAACAGTAAACATTAACAATGTTGGTAAATAGGATGATATAACTATATGACCACTACTATATATTAAATTTTTGGTTTCCAGATACCAACGGATACTGTGCCCCCCCCCGGAAAGAAAAAAAATGTAAGCCCCCTGGACAAATTCCTGGTTGCACACCCCGAGTCCATTCAATGATTAACTTTGATAAAAAGTATAAAAATTAATAGATCGTAGAAAGCCAATAAAAAGATTTTAAGAAATTTGAATTAGATTAGTCTAAATACGTTGTATATAGCTTGAAAAAAACATTTTCTAATAATTTTACATAAACATTTTTTAAATAGACTATTTAGGTTTAAAAAGAACTGTTAAAATCTATAGATTAAGTTCTAAATAATAAAATCACAATATCCTATTTATGATTAACAGTTTTGTCATGGACTCATAAAAATACATTCATGTTATCAAAAATATGCATTATTTACAGAATATACAGATTGAAGAAGTCCAGATTTCAAGTTATTAAAAAAATCTAAATTGTCTAAAAATCTGTAATCTTCGTTAATATTTAAAGATGCAAAGAAAATATCCCCATTTGCAATTTTGATCTGTAATAGTTTCCATTTTCTTCTGGATCAATTTGGATCAGCAAAGGCCTTGCGGAACATTTCCTAAAACTGTTAAATATTTCAGTATTTCGGCTAAAAATAGGTTTTACGAAAATTTTATAATTTACAAATAATCGATTCATGATGTTAAGAATGAAAATAATTCAATTAACCCCTTAGATGCTACACAGAGCAAGATTTGATTGACACACTTAAACATTTTTACAAGACGATTATTTCATATGGAATTGAAATGGAATAATCGTCCTGTACACTCTTATAGCATATTACACATAGTTCTATGTAGCATCTAAGAGGTAAATTCTTTATTCAGTTAAGAGTCGCCGTTAATGTCCATGCCCTATTCACAACGGTACCCTTAAAAGTTTTGTCTGATCAAGTATGAATTAAATATAAATGTCTTTCTGAGAAGATCTGTTATAGAAAAGAAAAATATCTGTTTTGAACTCTATTTCTCTCACGGTTGCTCCAATATCCCCAGAACGAAATAACATCTTCATGATCAAGTATATTATATATATTAGTTCAGTGATCATTTACTCTCTGATACTCTTAACCGTACATAATTTTACAGGGATATATAGGGCGCTACTTCAAAACATATTTCTTAATACATTAGTTAAGACAACCATCAATCCTTTAAATCTTGATATTTCTAGGTCGTCGCTAAGGCTTTGCATCCCAAATATAAATTTTAAAAATCTGTCTTATTCAGATTTTTTTTTTTTGGGGGGGGGGGATGATAGCTCCGCTGAATTGCTCTCTCTGTTTGACACCGTGACTAATAATGTAATGTAATGAATTCAGTACAACAGAATTAATTCGGTACGGTACACTGTAATTGAATAGGTTACGGTACAACATAATTGGGGGATTTCTTTCCTAATCGGAGCTAAATATAATGATGTATTAATTTACTTGTTTTCTTTCAAATTGAGTACAGACAGGTTACCATAAAATGTAAGATTTAAGACGACAAAGAATTGTTATAGTCAGTTTCCTTATATTTATGATTCCCGTCAACTGAAAACTTGTTTCTTACATTGTCGTCATAAAAAAGCCATTAAAAGACTATATCTAAGGTAGAGGATTTAGTTAACCCTTGATATCGTTTCTTTATGGGTAACCCTGTATTTTCTCATGAAATCGCCAGTGTAAGCGCTATTTATTTACGCGTCCTCTCCCGTCCATGCTACTATTAGTCATCCTAAAATATATTCTTGTTTCTTGGTAAAACAATATGAACAAATACATACTTGACATAAACCTTTACACACCTACAAAGTACAACACGTACGTACACTATACACCCACATGTAAAAAGTACGACCGTAACCCTTACATTCACCCATAATTTCACGCATATATAATATATATGCTTTATATTTTTTAAATTATTTTTTAAATAAAAAAAGAATATATGAGAACGCAAATTCTGTTCAAGAGTAAAAAAACCACATTTGTTTTGTATATATTATTTATTGATATTTTTGTTTGTTGGACCGTTAGTTGGTAAAAAATCTCTTAACTATATAATTTAGAAAAAATACTTTTATATTACGAGGTGACATAAGTTGACATGAATAATTGAAAAACATACAAAATTTGAATCGTGTTAGTTTGTCAGTGAGTATTTATTTAAAACTAGCTTCTTGGGGTAAAGGTGAAATGTACACAGTACACATTACACTGTACAGTTTGAGGATACTCTTTAGTGTACATCATAACTGGTATGACTAGAATTTTCGATTTTTTCTTTCACTGAAAACTTCCAAACAAAGCGTCCGTAAATTGAACTTTAGCGTAAATTTAGCGTGATTTACATTACTATATTTTAGTAAATAGTTGACCAATTAGACTGATAGTTGATCAATTGGGCGGACAGTGGATCAATTAGGTGGATATTTGATAAATTAGGTAAATAGTTGGTCAGTTAGGCGGATAATTGATCAATTAGGCGAATAATTGATTAATTAGGCGGATAATTGATCAATTGGGCGGATATTTGATCAATTAGGTGGATATTTGATCAATTAGGTGGATATTTGATCAATAAGGTACGTGAATAGTTGGTCAATTAGGTGGATAATTTATCGATTAGGCGAATAATTGTTCAATTAGACGGATAACTGATCAATTAGACAGATAGTTTATCAATTATGTGGATAGTTGTTCAATAAGTTGTCGATATCTGATAATTTAGGTGGAAAGTTGATCATTTATGTGGATAATTGATCAATTAGGTGGAAAGTTGATCAATTAGATGGATAGTTGATCAATTAGGCGGATCGTTAATCAATCAGATGGATAGTGGATCAATGAGGCGGATAGTTGATCAATTCAGTGGATAGTTGACTGATTAGGTGGATAATTGATCAATTTGGCTGATAATTGATTTTGTCAGTTTTGTATTTGATTCAGTTTGTAAGTCCTGTAGGTTCAGCGTTCTGCCCTAGCTGTGCCATCACAGTTCTAAAATAAAAGGGTTTAAAAATCTTACTTACAAGATCAGTCGTGCGAAATGTCTCAAAGAAGGGAAAATAAGGGCAAATTTAACTTAAGAAATATTGTGAAATAACACCGTAACTTAAATAAAGGCAAGGCCAAGAAAGCTATAGCTGTATTTTCATAAGGATTTTATTTTTTAGTCCTCAGAGACATATCTTGAAGCAAAATATAGATGAAATGTTGGTTTGTAAACATTGAACTATAATATTTTTATAGAAAACAACACCGTTGAATATCATATTATTATTATTATTATGTACCTGAAAATGGTGGTTAGATAGATAGATAGGAAGAGAAATATAACAATATCATCCAGAAGCCCAACCAAACCAAACGCAGCCTAAATAAAATATAATCAAACAATCAACGGACCAATAATTAACTAATCTACAAACCTATGATGCACCAATTATTTAACATACAATTGATAAATTAAACAAATAATGGATCTAATATTAACAAATGAACTAACCTATGATTAACCAATTAACAGACTTATGATAAACGAATGAAAAGAAAATACAATCTAGGAATGATTGAAAGGATCAATTTGTAAAGGATTAATGGTTAAATAAATGAATGAAAAGATCAATTAATAAAGTAAAGGATGAATGGTTGAATGAATGAAAAGATCAATTAATAAAGTAAAGGATGAATGGTTGCATACATGAAAAGATCCATTAATAAAGTAAAGGAAGGAAGGATAAGTGAATGAATGAATGAATGAATATAAGTATAGATGGATGGATGAAAGGATGGATGCGAGTTTCGGGTTTATGGGACGGCTCATATAAGCAAATTTGGGATGTAAACAAACCAAGTCCCACAAGTTACGGGATATTGGTCCCACAGGTCTGAAGGGACTACATTTTAGGATGATGGGACCAGCCTTCCGGCTCATGGGACTGGTGTAATATGATACTTTAAATCTTGCAAATTTGAATTTTAGTGGGGGATTTCTGTAGATTTAGAATTTTATTACAAATCATTGTCTTCAAATAAAGGTAGGGTAGATAAGTGTAGTTTAAAATAGTTCTTTTTATGCATGTTTAATATTTTTATAAATGTTTTATTACATAAGATTCACGAAACCTCTTTTTTCAGAGACAAAAGCATCGTTTTTTAATTTGAATACATGGGGGCTTGGGGTGGGGGGTAATAAGTT